GGGTCTTCCCCCCCCCCCCCCCCCCCTGCTTATCGAGGTCACTCAGGCTTCAAGGCCAGGCTGAGACGTCACCATTTTATGGAGACTTTCCTAATCTCCCTGATCAGAATGAACTTTCTTCTCAGCCGCTCCGACTCGCCTCTCTCAGAGCATGTATCTCCTCACCTGCTTTAATAAGTTCACATGTCTAGTGCCTCCCTAGGGTGAGCCACTTAGAAGCAGATGGTTTATCTTTCCATGTCGAGTAGATCCTGGGATGCAGGGAATTACTTCTTGCTTCTTCGTCGCTATTCTTGGTCCTTTTCTCATTTGGTGGTGCCCCCCAGGTGCAGCCCCTCTCAAAAACTAGCCCTGGACAAAGGCCTGAAACCCATTCACACTACCTACACCCTGAGTAACTGACAACAGTTTTAAGTGTGAACCGCCCCCCCCCCCATGGGGATGTGCAATTCTAACAAGTACCAGTGAGTAGTTAAAGTTTCTGTTTTGCAGCAAGGGTACAATTAGACCATAAAAGGTGTGATATGAGTGCTAATTCAGCAAGACGTCCTCCCCAGATGCTGTTTAATTACCTGACATTTTCTACTAGAATCCTCTCTTTAGGTCTTGGGGCCTCTTCCCTTTGCGGACCACAGAATTTCCCCACACGTCTCATTTGGCCTCACAGTTCCCAGGCAGGTAGCCCAGGCAGGGGGTCGAGTCTTCTAGAAATGTAGCCTGGAGAGGGTGGAAACGCCAGGCATCTGTGCCCAGTAAGTGATGGCGCCTCGTGGGGTGACTTAGAGCCCAGATCTACCCCATGGAGGCTCAGTACAGAGCCCTCCAAAGAGAGCGGCAGGCAATACCAGACACTAGCTGAGCACAGAGGAGTCAGAATGATGTGGGGCAGAGGCCATGAGGCTGGGAACAAGCCCGGGCAGAGGGCCAAAGAGGAGAGGCCATTGGTTTCCAAGTTTGGCTAAGGATTAGGCTTGAGGGAAGCTTCTGGAAGTGGGGCGGGGCATGGGAGGTGCGGAGGATGTTAAATGCTCCATGACGGGGTCTGCCTGTGAGTCTCAGATCTATGGCTAATGCGGAGAGAAGGCCTGAGAGAGACATAAGGAACATGTAAGAAATCGTTTCCAGCCTGATGAGTTTTCAGTCTACTTGGGGGAAAAGAAAATTACACTTCGTAACTGTTTCTGAGATGTTGCACTCTGAGTATGTGACACATTTTAAACTCAAAATAGCTGCTGTGGGACTTCGCTGGTGGTCCAGTGGTTAAGACTCTGCGCTTCCACTGCAGGGGGTGAAGGTTCAATCCCTGGTCGGGCAACTAAGATGGCACGTGCCATGGGTCGCGGCCAAAAGTAAATAAATAAGAAAAGAATCCCACCCCCCAAACCCCCCCTCCACAAAACCAGCTATGTTGTTAATGTCACCAGTATTAATATTGGAAGTAGCAGCCTCCCAATTTAAATCATGAGGAAACCAAGGCAAGATTCACACTCAGGAAACTCAGGTCAGTGACCCTAACATCTTCTGCCCACAACCCTGGAGCTCGTCTCCAGCTGACATCACGACAAGCCTCAGAAGATGAAATCAAGGGCCGAAATCCAGGCCACGGCCGTGAGGCCCCCAGGTCATGGTACCCCCGAGGGGGTCAGGGGAGAGGTGCTGAGCCAGGAGCCCGGAACTGGGGCGCTAAGATTCTGGTCCCTGTTATGCCCTGTACTAACTCTGTAGCCTTGGGCAACTCATCGCTCTAGCCTCAGTGTCCTCAGCTGGGAAGAGAGAAGAATCACAGCTGTCCTGCCTGCTTCCCAGGGTTGCAACTAGGATCAAATGGGATGAGGCTGTAAAAAAGTGCCTTGAAAACATTTAGCAGATGGAAGGCCCTGTGGAGGATGGCTGGCCTGCCCCTGACGATAAGCCCACACCCTGCCAGCTGCCAGCCGATGCCTGGGTCCCTGTGAGCGGTGTGCATTGTCTCCAGGGCCAGTGAGGACAGAAGACAGCCTTCAGGGGCACCGGGAGCTGCTGCCGTGAGGACGCACCGGCTTGAATCAAACCCACAGGAGCCGGTGTAAAAGTCCAGCGAATGGAAGAGCTGATTGCCCTCCCTGTGCAGGTGACTGAGGCAGGTCGGCACCGACCCAAGGGCAGCATTTGGCAGAAAAAAGGCACAAACCGCTGGCTGCTGGGACCACACCTGTTGGAGCCCGGCAGGTGTAAAGGACATTTCCTTTCGTGATGCCGTGTCTGTGCACGTGATACAGAAGAAGCAGGGGACCCGGGTCCAGGTCTCCCCTAGGTCATTTACCGCCTATGTGACCACAAGCTAGTTATCTGAGTCCTTGAACCTCTGTTTTCTCATATGGAGTAGAATCATTTACTTCATTTGGTCGTCTTCGGGGTGTAAGGAGATAATATTCTTATCTGCTATGAACCCACTTTCTAAATGCCGGTGATTGTTACTATTACCACTTTGCCTCAATCTCTGCTATAAAAGTAGAAAATTATCTGCCCTATTCTAGTCTCATGGTCAATAAATGATAAATAAGATGATGGATGTAAAGGACTTTGAGCTCCCCAAAAGGAAGATAACATTTTGAAGGGTTAGAGAGCCCAAGGTTAGTTCAGCTTCAAGTAAAGAAAGTGACATTGGGGAAGGAGAGGAAATAAAAAGACCAGGAGCCAGGGAGTAATATTAACCAGGGGTAATAAGCATGGCTTTGCTGCTGTTGCCACAAAGTGGGGCTCATGGAGAGTGGGAGGGTAGCCTCGTTCATAGTAGGAAGGAGACAGACATTGGAGACACACTCCCTGACACCAGCTGCAAGTCACGAGGATATAGAATCTTGTAGGTAGATAATTTTACAACGATCAGCAAACCAAAGATGGGTTGAGCACTCAACTATTAATCAAGAATTTAGTAAAGCACAATAATCAAGTGAACCACATTTCACTGGAAATCTGTAATTTATTAGGAGGGGAAAAAGCACTCCACACCTTTCCATCAATGTAAAACCTTTGCTTTGCGTTCATTGGGGAGGTCATTACAAATCCTCCAGCCTGTTACTTAGTTGTCCTACGGAGCTACAGGCATCCGTGTTTCTTCTTTCCTTTTTGGGTAACTTTTTATCTTAGTGTGTATATCTGTTTGTCTATCTATATATATAATGCTCATGATAACTGATCTGAATAGTATAAATGTTATGTAAACTAGCAAAAGTGTCTCTCTCCCACCCCTGACTCAGTCCCTTCCCAGGTTCCTTAAGTGCCAGAGACACAAGGCTTAGTAGGTTCTTTATATGACAAAACAAAATCACATTTCTGTAAAAAAAAAAAAAAAAATTTGAAATCAGTTCAATTCACTTTGCTTCCTCTCAGTCATTTTAATTCATTCCAACTAGCGCTCTGTGCCTTCTCGGGGCCTGAGGTCGGTGGATATAAGAGGGAAAAATCTGTGATTCATGCTGCAAACTCAGTGGGCTGAGCCCTCCCCCTCCCCCCACCAGGCTGTGTCTTTGGGGGCTTCCTTTCATCAAAAGGATTCTGTGATTATAGAGAAATTTTATAAGCATTCTCTAATTATCTGCAGCCCTTTCCATGTAGGGGAATCAAAATAATTTACCATAATCTACTGTCCTGCGTTTTAAATCACCTCTCATCTTGAAGTGAGGGCAGCCTTCCACGAGAGGGCAAAACTGTGTTTCCTCAAAGCTGATCATGAGCTGGGAGACACGAAGGTTGAAAACCTGGAGGTGCGTGAAGGGCTGGTCTTCTTTTGAAGCCACAGAGCTTTTCATGATGTCAGACACGTTGTAGGTTCTGCTAAATCTCCATTGAATAAAATGAGCAATACTTTGGATGCATCAACTGTATCCAGATTTATTTCAGATTTTTTGCCATGGGACTCAAACTTGGCTTCCAAGGTGTTGACTCCTGAATCCACTGTGTTCCCCTGAGTTCTGGAACCTGTTTGGTATTTGGGGAGAACTTCCTTCTTTCTTTCACCCGCTGTCACCATCCACTGAGCACCTGAAGAGGTCTGAACTCTTGGCTTTGCACATGCATCTCTCTCACTACCAGGTTTAAGGTCCTTTGACTCTTAGCAGATGAATGTCTTGCGTATAGCAAGGCCACAGCAAAATTACAGAATAATTTAGTGCAACAATAAAGAGCCAGTCATTATTCCTATAAGAAATTGTCTTTAATTAAACAGAGACTGCGCTTACTCTTTCCTTCCTCTGATTGGATCTGTTTTGAATCGGTTGGCATTTTTCTGGATCCTTAATTTTTACAGGTTTTCCTAAAATAGAAGACCTTGTCCTTTTCAATATCCGCCACCCTCTCACCCCATGATTCCTTCTGGGGACATCGGAAACACAGCTAATTGACTGGCTATTGTGGCCTGTGGTCCAACTTTCCACAAACTTAATCTTTAAAAACATTCTGGTCGTCTCATGTTTTCAGTGAGTTCCCAACCAGATTAATTTGCTAATAAGTGGACCTTTTGGCTCCACAGAAGACTCCCCAGCTCATAGCATCCTGGGTTCCACTGAAGCCCCTAGTAAGCTTGTTGGATGGATGGATGGATGGATGGATGCACTGGGTCAGACTCATCAAGACAGGATTCCTGGACAGTCTAGTCTTTAATACATTTTCCCTGAGAACTTTTATAAGGCCAGCATACTAGAAGCTCTGAGTTGGAAAGAGCCTCTGGGTTTATCTATTCCAGGCCCTGGTCTGGTACAGAAATCTTCACAACCTCTACCGTTAACCCAGTCCAAAGTTCATGAGCCAAAACTCAGTGTCTACTGACCGATCTGACTTCTTTTGCTCCCAGCCTCCTTGCCTGTCTTTTGTACGTTTTTTGACTCTTTGGACAGGGCACAGAGAAAGTGGCTGCTATTGTGGGAAGATGAATTTTAGTTAAGATGGAAATTATTCTTGTTGGGAGAAACCAATACACACTAATTGGGGAGGTGGCAGAATCTTCTCCCAGGGCTTAAACGCGCGCACACACACACACACACACACTCACGGATCCTGGGTGAGAAGCTAGGAGGCTGGATTGGCCCTCTGGTCCAGCCAAGGCCTCCCCAAGTCCCTGCAGGTGGAGGCACAGATCAGTCCCCCTTCTTCCCAGCCTAGACGGAGCCCCAACTTACTGTAGATGGTCTGCTGGGGTGAGCCATCCACGTGGCCGTCCCTGTGGATCTGCAGGTGGTAGCTGTTCCTGGCCGTGGCCGTGTACAGGTGGGTCAGGCCGCCCCAGCTGGAGCCCAGCAGCGGGGAGGTGTTGGGATAGGCGTGGACCGCACAGCCCAGGGTGCAGACCCAGAGGCCCAGGCAGGCCCCCAGCATCGCGGCTCTCTGGCTGGTGTGGAGTCTGAAACCCGACCCTGGCTCTGCGCCTGGCCTCCCTGGACTGTTTCTCCTCTTCCTTGCTGGTTTCTGGCCTGAGGCTCCTAGGCTGCATTCCCTCCTTTTTTTCCCTCGGACTTTTAAAGGGTAGCAGTGTGACATCAAACAGGAAAAACTCCACCGTCCACATCCTCTGTGTTGTAATCAGCCCATTTGAAGAGAATACAGGGATCTCTGAGGCTCACGGAAGGCACGTCGGTTCCAGACACACACACACACACACACACACACACACACACACACCCCTCAATTTCAAGCCAACGCTCCCAAAAGTGAATGATGTGTGGGCAAAAGTTATCTACGACACTGGGTTGTCTGCTGACCTGCCCCACTTCCACCAGGAAATGCGAAGGCAGCCAGTGGTTCCGAAAAAATCCAGCTTCAGTCATGCAGTCAACAGATGCCTGTGCAATTAATCTCCCATCAAGTCCACTCATTTTGTTTTTCTCAGTCTTTTAAATTCCAATCAGGAACTAAGCACCCAGAGCTTTGTCTATGCACAGCCCTAAGTGGGTGTTTTGAGGGATACAGAAGGAATCCAGGTCAGTACCAGGCAGTGGCGTCCTCTGAGACCCCCCCCCTTCGTGAAGATATGGGAGACCGAGACAGAGGCACAAAAGCAAAGTTGCAACCTCGGGAGGGTTTGGAGACGGGAAGAAAGAAGAAAGGCCTCAGAGTCCCTGCTCCTTTACGGAATGCTGAGGTTTGATTGCTCGGTTTCCCTGATTTGAGCTGCCAAGGGCAACTCCACTGGTATTGTGGTCTCTCCAATAGCGTGGAGGTGAATTCGGAAACCTCATAAAGATGGCAAGTCTGCTGGCTAAGCCCAGGGACCGGAGCCCAGGAGGGTCCCAGGAGCAGAGCCGCAGGCCAGGCGTCCCCACATTTAGTGTCTATGGGGGGCCTGGCTCCTGGGACTAGATGTGCCTTCTCGTGTGGGGCGACAGTCCTATCACGGGCCACCCCTGGGGGGCAAGCCACTGCATGCCTCCTGGAAAAACATACATGCGAGGGGACTGTTGCGCTTCCCACGTCCCCTCTACTGAGTGCAGACCACATGCGGCCGGCAGGCTAGAGATCGGGGCTGCTGGCAGAGGGGAGTGATGTGATCCCTGCCCCAGGCGCTCCCAGCTAACGCGGATGGCAGGGGAAAGTCAGGAACCATCGCAGAAGACACCATGGGAAGGGTGGTCACACAGACGCAGGCACAAAGAAGTGGCATTTGTTATCCTGCCCATACATGTGTTTGTATAGTTTACAAAGCATTTTCACGTGTATTAGCTCATCTGAACCTCACTGCCACTCTGTGAGGTAGACTCACCAGGTGTTATCCATATTTTAAGTTTAGACACGAAGAAATGGAACTCTTGGGGTTTACACGTCCAGAGTCACAAAGCAAATAAACAGGAGAGCCAGGACAGGGTCTTCCGGTTCCCTACGCTGCTCCTCCGATAATGATCTCAGAGACACCTGGCACTTATTGAATTTATGATGTGCTTTACTTTAACTCATTTACTTTTCATAATAACCCTTTGGAGAGGTACAGGTAATTCCTCTGTATAGATTAGGAGGCCGACGTAGACAGTTTAAATAACACACCCAAAGATGTGCAGCTCATACCGGGAGAGGTTGGATTTGAATCCGGGTGTCCTGAGCCGTCCCCGTGTTGGGGCTGAAGCCACAAGAGCAGGAGAGACAGGTCCAGGAGCAAAAGGGAACAGTGCTCCTTGCCTGGACCCAGGATGTGTCTCTAAGACACAGGGTGCTTCCCCCCCGCCCAGGTTAGAGAGAAGATTTAGGACACTTCAGTGCTATGTGTGAGACAGCTTTGCTTTAGTAACAGTCGCAGAATGGTTCGTACATGTATTCACCACAGAATACAAAGCAGAGCAAACTTATCCTCGAGGGGCCCACGATGCAAGTGAGCGGAGAAGACGTTGTTCCATACAAGGCACCACCACGTGAGAGGCGTTGGATGACCAAGACAGGTGCAACATGCCAGAGCATCCAGAGGACGGACAGACCTCGGTGTTGGACACCGTGGTCAAGGAGGACTTGGGGGCAAAGGGGCTTGAGGGAGACTTGCAGGGTGGGTCAGAGAGGGATTTCCCAGCAGCTGCCAAGGTGCTGCAGGGGGCAGGGCAGGTGTCTTGAGAGAAGAATGTGGTCATGTGCTCTGGTCCCAGACTGGTTGGAGGTGGAACCTCCCTGGCCACTTCCGTGTGTCCTGTTAGGAGAGAGAACTGATGTGCTGGCCTACGTCACTTCCGAAGACTCCCCACTAGCCTTGAATGCCTGGCAGGTGGATCTGAAGGTAGAGGACCGCCCAGGGGAGTAGGCTGATTTCGGGGGGAGGAAGGATCCCCCACTCGGTGAGAGTGAAGGAAGGTGCAAGCATCTCAGAGTAATTCTTCCCACCTGAGATAAGGAAACATTGAGCTTGGAGGTAGGGATTTGCTCAGTAGCAGGGATGGCAGACCCTCCAGCTCTGGCTAGACTTCCTGCCGGGGGCTCCCAACCTGGCTGCCCGAGAGAACAACCATAACTCCCCCAGGACCATCCTTTGCCCTGCTGAATGAAGGTGAGACTCTTTGCGCTTGTTTCCAAAGCTCCCTGAGAGATTGTAACCCCTAAGCCTGACTCTACAGTTCTTATCAAGGAACAGATTTTGCACCCCTCATGTGCACTGGAGTCAATACACAGGGACCGAGCCACATCTCACTGTCCATCCCCTTCCAGGATTCCAGCCTAAGATGTACATGGGCTTTTCTGGGGAGTCCTAGCACTGAATGCTAAGTCCGTACAGTGCTCTGAACCTTGTCGTTGTGGCATCTCCTCAGAAGCTTCCGAGGGTGAGGATGACAGAGCCCAGGGTGAGTGTGCTCCTTTTCTTGGCCCCTGGAGGGCATCAGCTGTCACTGCACAGGTTGGAGGATCTGGGAGCGTGTGACCTTGGGAACCAGGTGTGAAACCCTGGTACCAGATGGGAACAGGAAGCTCAGGACAAGACCGGTGGCTTGTGGGTTTTGGATATCTCTGTCCATGGATCCCACGTGGCTGCCTGGGATGCAGCAGATGGGGACACCTGCCCTGGCGTTGGGAGAATTTGCCCCGGGAGCTCTGCAGAGGACTTCCGGTCCAGACCCTGCCTGTACAGTCATAGAATAGAGGCTCTGAATATGGCCTGGGGACTAGACAAATCTGTATTCCCACAAGTTCATTCCTTCCCCTCATCCCCTGACTTCTTCTCAGAATCCTCTCTGAGAAGGTGCAGAGAATTCTCTCCCAAGGTCACATTCTCTCCATGTGAAGGTTTTCAACAATTTTCAGAAAAAAAATGTTGTTTTGACTGTTGTTAAACTATGATGAAAAAAATTTCGAGGAATCTTGGTAAAAGAAAGACCAGGGAATGGGGCGGTGGTCTCAGGATGGGCCACAGTTTTCTTTGCTTTGTTGGACTCTGTCTAAGGGCTCCATCTGCAGATGGAGGTCTCTGCTCCCTATTCTCACCTCTTCATGATTCTGGCTTCATCATTTCAGCAGTGGTTTCCCTGTCATCTTTACCATCCAATCCCTGGGGTCAGGCAGATGGATGTCTAAGCCTCCAGGATGAATGGTCATAGGGGAAGAGCTACAGCCTTCCTGAAAATGCCACCCTGTGTCTTGTTCTCCTGACGATTAAAGCTCCATTCCTAATATCCAGTCCTATTCTCTCTTCCTCTAATGCATCCAGTCAACCCACACATAACTGTTTATGGAAAGCCTATTTTATGGCTAGTGCTTTGCAGAAAGTCTTTAGGGAAGCCTAAGAATGAGAAAGCACAGTCCTGTTCTTCAAGGCGCTGACGATGCTCTGGGCAGAAGACCGTTTGCTTCTGTCTGGCTCTTCCCAGCCTAGGATGCGCACACACACCCAGCATCCCATCTGATGCTCTGACAGTCCTGTGAGGAGTGCTAGCAGGTCACTTCAAGAACTTCACTACTCAAAACTACAGTGAGGTACCACCTCACACTGGTCAGAATGGCCATCATTAAAAAGTCTACAAATAATAAATGCTGGAGAGGGTGTGGAGAAAAGGGAACCCTCTTGCACTGTTGGTGGGAATGTAAATTGATACAGCCACTAGGGAGAACAGTATGGAGGTTCCTCAAGAAACTAAAAATAGAATTACCCTATGACCCAGCAATCCCACTACTGGGTATATACCCAGAGAAAACCATAATTCAAAAAGACACACGGACCCCAATGTTCACTGCAGCACTATTCACAATAGCCAAGACATGGAAGCATCCTAAACATTCATTGTCAGAGGAATGGATAAAGAAGATGAGGTATATATATATATACAATGGAATATTACTCAGCCATAGAAAAAGAATGAAATAATGCCATTTGCAGCAACATGGACGGACCTAGAGATTCTCATACTAAGTGAAGTAAGTCAGACGGAGAAAGACAAATATCGTATGATATCACTTATATGTGGAATCTCAAATATAACAGAAATGAACTTGGCGGGAGGGGCTCTGCTAGACGGTGACCGAGAGGAAGCTGTCGTGAGAACGTGGAAGGGGGAGTGGCTGGAGGTGAGGAGAAGCAGGAGATAGAGGTCTTCCTAGGACAAGAGCATCTCTTGGGAGCAAATGCTTTAGTGGCAGGACCAGCCCTGCAAGTGTACCGTACACGCGCTGCACCCTGTTGTCTGTGGCTGGTGGTACTTGGCCACCGTCTGAGACAGTGAGGGGAACTGTGCACTGGGAGGACACCCACAGCCAAGAGCTGGAGTGCAGGGGCATTTTAGGGCAGTGAAACTGTTCTGTAGGAGACCGTGATGATGGAAACACAATATGGTGCGTTTGTCAAAACCCACAGAACTCACGACACACTGTGGACCCTCACGTAAACTCTGGACCTTCGTTAATCATCACGTGTCACTATT